TCGCCATTTTGCCCGTCATATCAGATGAGATTTGAAACTCGAGAAGACGTGAACCCCATAGCGTCTCTACGCTGTGGCGCATCGAACTTGCAGTAAGACGCAGCGACAGAACGCGCGGTTAGCCGACCTCCAACTAGAGAGAATCCTTCAAAAAAGTCTATCAAATTGGTTCATACACCCGCTCTACTAGGATTCTCCCGATGACCCTTTCACTTTTAGTGATGATGATGAAAGCCCTGATGACCCAAGCCCATTCAAGCTCGTCAAGTCCAGTTCCCAAAGGATTGGAGAGGCTCCCACTAGTTAGCTATATTATCCAAGTGATTCCTGTGTTGAAGTCCAATACCTAGGCCATATTAAAACTTTACGTGATTAACCAATAATAACGTGTCATTTGTAGAGTAACTGTACGCTCTATGCACTAAACAATCACGCTAATGTTGCCAAACCTATGGACAAGGGGATAAACATTGAGATTGGCGCCATCTCCACTTGCTCCAGAATAACTACGGAGTACGCTGTACGGAGTAATGGCAAAAGTTTCAAAATTATGTGATGTCATACCTACTAACTATTAACAACGGACCCACCAATTAGATTAGAAAGGTGTGGTGAGCAACAGAGCAACCAAGAGCAGAAAAGGGCCACTAAAACAAAAAGCCAGCGATATCAATGGCGTATCGTTGTATCCAATCCCAAAGTCCTCTGTAGGTCCAGGGAGGACCGTCTGTCATGGCCGTCGCACAACGTTCACATGTCAAAGGACGGAAGGCTTTGGACCCTAGCCTAACGATCTCATCCAGATGGGCCATTCGACAAGGGTCTGTGGATGTTGGCTGATTCGCAGTGATTGGGGGATTGATCGCCCTTGGGGACGAGGAGGGGGCGCTCCCGAGCTAGTAGTAACGAATCGCTGGAGTCAGAAGGTTTCACACCTGCGGCCAGAGCAAAGGGCCTAGCGAGCCTAGCTAAGCGAAAATCCTCCATCGCTGGGAAGAGTGACGATGTCTTCAGCAGGCTGCTATTCGTTCGTGTCCATCGAGTAGCCCCCGAACACCAACCTTGGCGCCGGGAGACCCGGTTTTCTGGTCCTCCTTTTTTGATATCAGGCATTAATTATTACGTGGTGCACCCTGCGCCTCCTATTTGGTCGAGTCGCGAGTATTTCAATCTGTTTTGGAATCTGCTTCGAGGGCTGTGCTGGCTCGCTGCCAATAGATCATCCGCCATTGTCCCAACTGTCCCAACTGTCCCAAGGGCTGGCAGGAAGACGTTGCGTGGATGACAGAAAACAGGGAACGCCGCCTGTCATTGGCTGGGGCATTGGATGTCACGCCTATGCCATAACCGGCAAGGGTACTGCCGATCGTTTTAAAGGAGGCTCTGTGGCGGAATATTGTAAATCCGAATGGCTTGACGCAGTTCTGACTAAACGGGGCCGCCAAATGACGCTATCCCGTATTCGACCGTGCCAAGATGCGCCCGTTGTCCCGTTGCCCGGCAACCGTAATCTGGAGCGTTTGTTTGTCGACCTGGGCCTCATCCCGCAACAGCCCCGCTCCTCTTGATATGGCAGATCTCAGCATTCTTCAGTCTCACAAGCGCCGAAAACTACTGGAGATTACGACTAGGTCTCCACCTTGCGCTCAATTTCTCTCCTTTCAAATTCACCATTCCAAGTGAGAGAGAGTTTTTTCTTTTCGCGCGCACCGTGCGGACGCTTGACATCAGAGTACCCAGTATCGAGCGAGTGTGTTGCATATATGTTAAAGATGTGTTAACAACGTGGCATCGAGTGAGCTGAGGTATTTTGCGCCTGTGGAATTTGGTCCCGTCAACAAATAAAAAAGTCTCAGGCGCATGAGCCCGGCCAATCTACTCTGTCCAATGTTTCTTTGTTGGTTATCGCAAACGTATCGGTAGGCCGCCAAGTCACCTCACGCACCCGTTTTGGGAGGGGATCAAATATGCGGAAAAACAACCTCATTCGGCCCTCGCCGTCGTGTGTTCTTGCTATGGTTGGCCGGGAAGAGTGCTCCGCCCGAGCTGCCCTTACAAACCCTTTCATACAATCAGGCAACCCCAGTTTTCAACCAAAACCAAAACGGGAAGGTCTTTCATCCCCTTTTCTCCACCAAAAAATTCCGGCCCTTCTTTCGAATAAGAATTCCCGGGCTTTCCGTTCCTCCGGGGAAT